AAGCACAAGGACATTTCAGTAAGCCTCAAGATAACAGAATAACGGAAGGGACCTTGGAGGTCTTCTAGTCCAACCCTCTGCTCAAGCAGGAGACCTATACCATTCCAGAAAAGTGGCTGTCCAGACTCTTCTTGAAAAAGCTCGTGATGGAGCACGCACAACTTCTGAAGGCAAGGCATTCCACCGGTTAATTGTTCTCACTGTTAGGAAGTTTCTCCTTAGTTCTAGGTTGCTTCTCCCCTTGGTTAGTTTCCATCCATTGTTTCTTGTTTTGCCTTCTGGTGCTTTGGAAAATAAGTTGAACACCCCCTCCCCCACTCTTCTTTGTGGCAGCCCCTCAAATATGCAATATGTCCTATTGTGGACTGCAGCTTCATGACAGCATTTGGAGCTAAAATGGCACTTCGTGCTTGAGTCTATTTAGTGATGCTTTTTTTTCCCTTCAAAATTGCTGCTGAAGATAGTCGGAAGTCATTTCAGAGCAAAACTAATGCTATTTGAAAAATGAGCTGCTGCCCCAGACTGTTCTGTGGCACAGAGGAAATCTGATAAAATGGTTAATATGGGGCTTTCATTTTCAAGACAGATGCATGCTTTCAAATGTGCCATGCACTTGTCAAAGGTTTCGTCCCTGAGATTTCATTAGCATGTTAGCTGGAGACAAGAAAATAACCCAGTGTACAAATTCTATAATAAGCGGGAACGCTGATCTCAAGATAGCGAGAGCCAATGCTGCTCGTAGAAGTCATAGTCCCCAACTATGGAGGAACGTCTAATGCCATCAAATGTCACAACAAGGCCATTTGACACTGTCACAACTGTAATCCGGGCTACACAATAGAGTTAGATATAGATAGGCTCACGACCATAATGGAGCCCAAAATTTCCATTGCTAAGTGAGAAATTGTTGAGTGAGTTTTGCCCCATCTTACAACCCTTCTTGCCACAGGTGTCAAGTGAATTGCCGCAGTTGTTGAAACAACGTGGTTATTAAATGAATCTGGTTTCCCCGTTGACTTTGTCAGAAGGTTGCTAATCACATGACTCCAGGATTCTGCAACCGTCATAAATATGAGTGAGTAGCCAAGCCTCTGAATTTTGATCGCATGACCATAGGGCAGTGTTTCTCAACCTTGGAAGCTTGAAGATGGGTGGACTTCAACTCCCAGGATTCTGGGAGTTGAAGTCCACCCATCTTCAAACTACCAAGGTTGAGAAACATTGCCATAGGGGATGCTGCAATGGCTGTAAGCATGAAAAGGGGCCATCAGTCACATTTTTCAGTGCCGTAGTAACTTCAGTCACTAGAGCCGAGGTGGTGCAGTGGTTAGGGTGCAGTACTGCAGCTACTTCAGCTGACTGCTAGTTCAGCAGATCAGCGGATCAAATCTCACCGGCTCAAGGTTGACTCAGCCTTCCATCCTTCCGAGGTGGATTGTTGGGGGCAATATGCTATTTAGTATACTGTCTTTGGTGTAAGCCTCCCAGAGTCCTCGGAGAGTGGGTGGCATAGAAATATGAATAATAAAAAAATAATAAAAAGATAAATAAATGAAGTGTTGTAAGTCGAAGACTACCTGTCCATGGTGAAATCCAAATTTTTTTTACTACCGGTTCTGTGGGCGTGGCTTGGTGGACATTGTGTGGCTTGGTGGGCATGGCAGGGGAAGGATACTGCAAAATCTCCATTCCCACCCCACTCTGGGGCCAGGCAGAGGTGGTATTTGCCAGTTCTCCAAACTACTCCAAATTTCTGCTACCAATTCTCCAGAACCTGTCAGAACCTGCTGGATTTCACCCCTGCTATCTGTACAACTATCATTCCTATAAGCCAGGGGTGTCAAACGCCTGCGGGGTGCTTAGATCTGGCCCACAGGGCTGCCCTGAAAATAGCAAAGGACTAGCCCGTGGTGCTTCTGCTAGTGAAAACTGAGCTCCCAAGCTCCATTTTCGCTGGCAGCGGGTTGCAGGAGACCGTCGCAACCAAAAACAGAGCTCAGGAGCCCATTCCCATGGGCAGAGTGCTTGGGCCGCCATAGGCACCCCAACACGAGTGACGTCGAGCTGGCCACGCCCACCCTGGCCACACCCACCCTGGCCCCCCAAGGTCAAACACAACCCTGATGCGATTCTCAATGAAATCGAGTTTGACACCCATTATAAGCAAAATGTCTTCTGCATCCAGAATTAATCCATAATATCTTTTCCTCCCCCAAAATCACTTACAGAACCCCAGATATATGATTAAGAGTTCACTTCTGACACTCAGCAATTAGGAAGAAATGAAATGTGCCCCCCCCCAAAAGAAAGCCATTTGTTATTTAAGAATGTTCTCCATAACTATCATTTCCTTCTCATAGTCTCATTCCTCTTTCCTTCAGAGGATTTACATTTTAAAAGAAACTAAAACTTTAGGTAAATAAACTGAAAATCCAAAGCCAGGTTTTGTTATATATATACCTTTGTACACAGACTTCTCTGCCTTTTGGCGTTAAAACATTTCTTCATATTTCCTTCTACCTGTTATTTATTTATTTATTTTAATTTGATTTATATGCCGCCCTTCTCCGGAAACTCAGGGTGGCTTACAATGCGTTAAGCAATAGCCTTCATACTTTTGTATATTTATACAAAGTCAGCTTATTGCCCCCACAAACTGGGTCCTTATTAGTATCCACAAGTCCATTTCTCTAGCTTTTCATTTTTTTATTTTTTTGCCTGAATATGTATCTGAACTGCTGGACTTTTCTCTATCGTGATTAATCCTGCACGAACAAGAAAAATGGCAGCTCCTCTCATTCATAGGACCTGAAGGAAATGGGGGATTAAGTGGCATTGTTCTTAAGACACACCTTTCATCGATCTAATTTTCTCTCTAGTCCATTTAACAATGTTCCTGATTATTGTTTGTTCAGGGAGAAGGAAAGAACTCCAGTTGCTGCCATGGCTAAAAAAAAAAAAAAAATTAAAATCATGTTTGTTGAGATCACGTTGTACCGCAAATTCAGCCTCTTACTGTTTTAAAGCCAGCAAGCATTCACTGTATGTTACAGCGTTTTTCTCTCTGTCTGAATCCCTTTTTTTTTAATTTTGCAAATTTCAAATAAACCTACAGACTGGCGGATTTTGCAAAAGACCTGGCATTGAAAGGTTTGCAAAATAGTGAATGTGGGAGAAAAAAAAACTATATGTAGTTTTAAAGGTCTGACTCTTTAAAACTGGTCAAACCAGACTGGGAAAATCCGAGCAACGAAGAGATTTAACCCCCTAAGGAGCAAGACATTAGAAAATTTTCATGACCGCGTAGGCACTTTGCATGATGTCGTATATTCCAGAACATTTGGTTAACATCTAAAGCTTTGAGGCAGCTGCACATGTTCAGAAGTGACATTCGAAGGGACACACATCTTTTTCATTAGAGGGAATCCTCGACTTACAACAGTTCATTTAGTGAACTGTTACAACAGCCCTGTATAAAATTACAACAGCCCTGAAAAAATTGACTTAGGGCCATTTTTCACACAACCATGACAGCATCCCCAGGTCACATGATCAAAATTCAGATCTTGGCTACTGACTTGCACTTATGACAACTGCAGTGTCCGGGTTCATATGATCACCTTTTGTGACCTGACAAGCAAAGTCAACGGGGAAGCCATTTGACAACCGTGTTACTAACATAAAAACTGCAATGATTCATTTAACAACTGTGGTAAGCAAGGTCATAAAATGGAGTAAATCTCACTTAACAAGCTGTTTCATTTAGCAACAGAAATTTTGGGCTTCATTGCAGTTGTAAGTCGAGGATTACCTGTATTAGCATCCTTATTTTAAATAACAAGACTTTTTTTTTTTTTAAGTCGAAGTCTCACTTTAGCGATGGCACTGGAAAGGTAAATTTGGATGATCATAGCTGGATTTCCTCTGTTGCATTTTTTCCAGTTAGCCAAAACTCTCGTGCCCTCTCCTTGAGCTCAGCAAGAGGTAGAGAAAACTTCAAGTTATATTTGGCATTTTAGGAAAAAGGCTGAATTCAAATGAAGTGAGTTGCATTTCACTCCCAGTGGATTCAGAGAGAATTTGTCAACCCATAAATTTTATGGAAATCTACATTCAGTTTATTTAATCTAGATCCGACCATTATTCTTCTAACGACAACGATGAAGCTTGGGATAGCAGTACCTTTTTTTTCTAAATCAGCAAGCCCATTGAAATGTTTCCAAATTTCTACCTATTGAGGCTTTTTATCCGCTATTCGTGTCAGAAGCCCCTTCAAATTATAGACGTATAATGTTCAACACTGAGCAGATAAAATAATACCGTGTTTTCCCGAAAATAAGACAGGGTCTTATTTTCTTTTGACACCCCCACCCCCCGAAATAAGCGCTTGGCCTTATTTTCAGGGAGGTCTTATTATTTTTGAGGTGCAGGAAGTGGCGAGCATGGTCACCTCATGGCTGCCGGTCATCAGCTGTTCGCCCCTGAGGCCGTGCTCCCCAGGACTCTGCACTATGTTGTCACCGCAGCCATGCCGCAGCAACTGGATGTCCCGTCACTGCCATCGCCTCCCTGTTCTTCGCTAATAGCTTTTGCGGTGGCCATTAGCATGACAGAAGGGGTGAGGTGGCTAGGGTTGCAGGAGTGGCCATTAGGTAAGGGCATGTGGTGTGTGGGGGGCATGTTCCCCTCTCCGTCCCCCACTCCGGCTCGCCACACCTCATGTTGTTTGCACGGCAACCAGAGGAAATGGTGGGGACCAGCTGCACATGCATTTAAATATTTTTGGGGAGGGCTTATTTTAGCGCATGTGCTCAAAAGCCTGATTGGGCTTATTATCAGGGAAGTCTTATTTTCAGGGGAACAGGGTAGCTGAGGACTACAAGCAAGCTTGACGGTGCTGCCTCAAATAATTTTTTTTGCAGATTTCTTAAATGGCCCCTTGTCCCTTTCAGACACTAATTTTTACCTGCAATATTTTTAAAACAACTTTGCACAGCAGGGATTTTTACCCAACAAGGTGAGGTTTTCTTTTTAATGAAGTTTAGAGAAAAGTTGTTTAGAGTTGTCCTAGAAGGGAGACAGATTCTGAGGAAACAAGATGGCGATGATACTTTGCTGAGTGGAGATCCATGCGACTCGAGTTAACAACAACCTCAACCAGACTGACAAAATCCAGAATCTTCTATCGCAGAGAGTCATATAGTCTGCAATAGAGGAATTATTTCCCCATGAACAAAACACGAAGGTGACTCATACAATTGGAGCAAGGATTACAGCAGCCCTGCCCAACCCCCGAGGCTTCCCAAACAATCTTCAGCATTGATTCCTTGCAATTTCCACCTCCTCAACCCCACCCCCACCCCGAAAACTATTTTCTAAATACTTCTGCTCCCTCATGGTTGTTGACATGGAAACTGAGACTGGTATTAAATCAAGTGGTGCACTGAAGAACTTTGATCCATTCCTCAACGGCTCAAAGTGGGCACAGGACGATCTGAATGAGACCCAATGGCCAAAAGAGATGACTTCGTGGTAGAGCCTCTACGTTACACGACGAATGTCACATACTACCCTCCACAATTGAAGGGACAAAAAGTGGTCCATCAAGTCACATTGACATATATGTGTCCTTTGTCCATGGCCCCTCCCTCTTTCTGTCTACAAAAAAGAGTCTCAAAAGCCAGATTCCACCATCTCTTCCTAGCAATGTTATCATGGAACTGAATAAGGAAATGACATCCCATGAAGATCAGGGTTCTATGGAGATCCAGCAAGCCTCCACACCTTGTCCGTCTCCAGAGCAGATCATGATGCCTCATCTTTTCAGAGAAGACCAATCTGAGTCCACTCAGTCTTGCAACGGCTGGACAAAGTTGGAAGGAAAGACACCTGTCCTTGTGCCATCGCCTTCAATGAATCCAACCTGGAAGGAAAACATCTCATGAGGAATGATAAAACTACAAATAAAGAGTAGCAGCATAATAGGCTCTGATCCCAGGTTCTTCCCATAGAAAAAATGACAAGAATTGGATGTGAAGCAACCCGGCTTTATTAGATCTACAGCTATGCAAGAGGTCTGTTCAATCCCCTTGTCAGCCCTGGAGCCCATCTTTTTCTTTGGATCTTCAGGGCTGCCACACTTAGTGCTGTGGGAAAACGGGAGGGGGTTTGCATGGAGTTGGTGGAGATATATAGCCATAACAACATTCCTTTCTCTGGGAGTCAAAGACGTTCAGGCTGCACCTGGAGAGGCATGACTGGGGGGATCATCTTCAGTTGGGATGGTGGATTGATTGGACCATGTGATGGACATGTGGGTGCAGGGAAAGGGTCTTTGACTTTCCTTTAGGTGGGGAAAACCCGGAACCTTTCAGATTTGGGTTTTCCCAGATGTGCCAATGGCAACTCTAATAAAATGGAAATTTGAGGAACTGCTGGCCTTGGAGTCTTCATTGGTTGGGGATGTTACTTGGAACCCTGACACCTTGGAGATGTTCTAGTCCAACCCCCTGCTCAGGGAGGAAACTCTGAGCAGAGGACAAAGGCTTTGGTATCAAAAGACATCACTCTTTTCAAAGTGGATTGTACATCTCACTTCTCAGTTGCTCGGGGAGGTTTTGTTTTGCCCTCTTGCTTCATGTATTATTGAGTTGTCACCTTTTTCCAAGCTGGCACCTTCTGGTGACATTGGGAGTTCTAGTCCCAACACATCTGGAAGGCACCAAATTAGGATTGGTGGATGGAAAATTCGAAGTGTGCAAAAGCTGGCAGATTGTTTTCATTTGCCTACTAGTAAAATAATGGCTCTAACACAGACCCCTAAATTGAGAATTTCACAATCGGGAAAGTTGGAGCACTGTTGTCGGTCGCTCTGAGTAAACCAAACAAGGAAATCGACCTTACGGAAAAGCTAAAACTATTTTTTTTATTGAGACTGGCTATTGCAGCACAATCTTGCAAGTCTGATTATGCTCAACCACCTCAATCTTCTTCTAATTTATTGAATTAGGGATGAGCCTCTCTGAGCCACTTCTAAATGTTCTCTGGCTGTTCTGGACTCAACAATCATTTCATCCCCCTTTGACTAGCCCAGGGGTCAGCAACCTGCGGCTCTGGAGCTGCATGTGGCTCTTTCACCCCTCTGCTGCAGCTCCCTGGCACTCAAAATATGCGTCACAACTACCAATGTGTGACACCCGCCGGTACGCGATTTATTGAGCTTTTCAACCCCTGGTAGGCCAACCATGGATAAATCCAAGAAAAGAAAAGTTTCAGAAGAAAACAGAACGTTTAATTCAACTACATATGCTAGTTTTGTGGCTGCTCAGGAAATAGTCAGGCATAGGAAGGGTTTTGTGGTTTCCGATGTTTTCTTTTCTATGGGAAACGGGTCCAAATGGCTCTTTGAGTGTTTAAGATTGCAGACCCCTGGACTAGCCAAAATCTTGTGCTTCTCTCCATCAAGGTCATTTTCCTTGCTCTTTTCTGCATGTTGAAATTTTAGCTCTCGTTGCTTCCAAAAGTGGCTCTTGAAAGTTACTGATCTAAAGATAAAATGAAATTCTGAGATATTAACTCAAGGGCTGCGTGTAAGCAGAAGATAGATTTTGGAGGGGAAGATGAACAAAAATCATAATCTAGACCAGGGGTTTCCAACCTTGGCAACTTTAAACCTGGCGACTTCAACTCCCAGGGGAATTCTGGGAGTTGAAGTCCACCAGGCTTAAAGTTGCCAAGGTTGGAGATCCCTGATCGAGACGAAAACGTGAGCGTCCTTTGCAAGAATGCTTCCTAAGAGGTTTCTCTTAAAGGACAAACTTCTCCTTCTCTTCTGAAGCTAAGAGGAAAATTGTATTTCTACTCTAATCCCGTGAGGAAAAGCAGCGATACTGACCCAATTTTGTTCGTCCTCTTCCCGTGTTACTACGATGACTTCACCCTTGGAGAAAGTCAACTCGCGGGCCTTGTCCCCTTTGCAGTCAGCCAAAGCCTTGACTCGTTTTAACCGACCTTTGGCCTGTGAAGGGCAGAAAAAATATCAGTTTTATGATAAGATCCCTTGTTTCCCCAGATGGTTTTTATGCAGGGGTGGGCTGCTGGGGGTTCGCAGGGGTTCGGGAGACCCTCTAGCTAAGATTCTGTGCAGTTCGGAGAACCCACAAACTCCCAACCACACTCCTGGCTGGTCCCACCCACGCCACCCTGCCCCTCCCCTCCCAGGAGTTCCCACGCGGCCTGTTTTAGATGCAAGGTACACGCCAAGGCTCGGGGAGGGCGAAAAACAGGCCTACCGGAAGTTCGGGAAGGCCGGAAACAGGCCCGTTTCCGGCCTCCAGAGCCTGGGGAGGCCATTTTCACCCTCCCGGAGACTCAAGGAAAGCCTCCGGAGCCCAGGGAGGGCAAAAATGCCCCACCCCCACCCCGCTGTAGTGCAGGAGGCCGACTAGACCACACCCACCATGGCCACGCCCACCCAGCAACCGGGCAGAGAACCCCTTGCTAAAATTTTTAAAGCCCACCCCTGCTTTTATGGTTGAAGAGGCAGAGAGGTGACAGCGGGCGCTAGGTGCAAACAAATTTGCAGGATAGCAGCCTGGGGTGTTCTCTGCCGTAATGAACCTTCAACAAATCTCTCTAGGTTGCTTTGATCATAGGGCACCACTTGGGCAATGTCTGGACTTTAATTCCCAGAATTCTCCAGCCGGCATTAGCCATCGCTGAAAATTCTGGGAGAAGTCCAGACCTTTGAGCCCAGGTTGAGGAAAGCTGCAAGAAAAGTCAGACTCAATTCCTAGAGACTTAATGGGTATGATGTTCACATCATCCTGGCAGTGATGGTCTTTACATCTCTTCAGGATGCAATACAGGTAGCCCTCGACTTACAACAGTTCATTTAGTGACCGTTCAAGGTTACAACGGCACCGAAAAAAAAGTGACTTACGACCTTTTTTCACCCTTAACAAACTTTGTAGCATCCTCACGATCCTCTGATCAAAATTCAGATGGTTGGCAACGGATTCATACTTATGACCGTTGCTGTGTCCCAAGGTCAGGTGATGGATCACCTTTTGCAAACCTCTGTCAAGCAAAATCAATGGGGAAACCAGATTTGCTTAACAACCGTGTTACTAACTTATCAACGGGGGTGATTCGCTTAACAGCTGTGGGCAAGAAAGATCGTAAAATGGGGCAAAACTCACTTAACAAATGTCTTGCTTAACAACAAGCTGTAAAGGTTGGGGATCACTACACTAAGGAATTTGGTAAGGAAATATCTCTGAAATGATGACTCAACAGATCAAGGTCACAAGTTGTCTCCTTGTTACTATAAATCTGGTTTTATTAAAAACTGGCTCTCATTTTTTTTGTCTTTGTCTCCTCTTTGATCGTCTTGGCTATAGGGACACTCATATATTTTATATTTTATACAGTGGTGAAATCCAAATTTTTTTACTACTGGTTCTGTGGACGTGGCTTGGTGGGCGTGGCTTGGTGGGAGTGGCAGGGGAAGGATACTGCAAAATCCCCATTCCCACCCCACTCTGGGGTCAGACAGAGGTGGTATTTGCCGGTTCTCTGAACTACGCAAAATTTCCGCTACCAGTTCTTTGAACTGCTCAAAATTTCCACTACCGGTTTTCCAGAACTTGTCAGAACCTGCTGGATTTCACCCCTGATCTTATATGCATAGACATAAATGAACAACAACAATTTTAGCTGGAGGAGTCATTACTTTAAAAATGGAAAATTGACACATACGCATATGTGTCCTAATTGACAGGGCAGCCTTTCAGATCCTGGAACCATAACACAAATGGGCATTCAAAGCCAATTGCTGTTGCTTGCCAACACAGTATTACTCTATGCCCGCTACGGTCTACAAAACACATGGCAGATCCATCAGTGCCTGTTGGCATGAGTTCTTATTTTGAAACTTGGAGGAAAAGGCCAAACACGTTCCCCCCTGCCCCCCCCCCCCCTCCGGCTTTCTGAGATTGCTGCTATCAGCTCTAAGGCTGAAATGAATACCTATCTATAACCGAGCCCAGATTGCTGCCTAGGGATACCAGGGATGCCATGCTAATGCTGGGGAGAAAGGAGACCCTCCAACTCCAGACTTGCTCAAACTATAAAAAAAGTATGACCCCTTGCTGTCGCTCCACAACTCACTGGTGCAAATCTTCTTGGCGCTGGCACAGGCAGAGGTGTTGGCCCTGGCATCGCAGTTTTGCATATAGACACTTCTTCCGGGCAACTGGGGCTCTGCGGCGAAAGAGGGCTGCTGGAAAATTTACCCATCGAGCTGCTACTAATCCGTCGATAGGACCTGGTGCTTTCTGAGCTGTAGGAGAAAAGAAGCTGTCTCAGAAATCGTTCTTGATGGTGGGGAGTGTCTTCTCGTGGGACTGTCGAAAGAGATACCTGTTCGGCATGGGTCATAGACTTCCTGAGCTAATGGTCCATCTCACCTTCATGGTAGTAAAGATAAAAGGTTCCCCTCGCACATATGTGTTAGTCGTTCCCGACTCTAGAGGGCGATGCTCATCTCTGTTTCAAAGCCGAAGAGCCAGTGCTGTCCAAAGATGTCTCCGTGGTCATGTGGCCGGCATGATTAAACGCCAAAGGCGCATGGAACGCTGTTACCTTCCCACCAAAGGTGGTCCCTATTTTCCTACTTGCATTTTTTACATGCTTTCGAACTGCTAGGTTGACAGAAGCTGGGACAAGGAATGGGAGCTCACCCCGTTACGCGGCACTCGGGATTCGAACGACTGAACTGCCGACCTTTCGATCGACAAGCTCAGCATCTTAGCCATTGAGCCATCGCGTCCCTTTTACTCTTTCTACTCTTACCTTCATGGCAAGAGTGGTTTAATAATGGAACAGGTTTCCTCAGAAGAATGACTTGATGGCCATTTCTCGGGAGTGCTACAGTGGTGGATTCCTCCTCCAAGCGTCTTCCCAACCCTTCCACATTCTCCAATATTCACTTGGCCATGCACAATGACTGGGTTCTTCTGTTGAGTTAAACTGTAGTGTTTAACCTTGTTTCATTGAACAGGACCCAGGGTTTATATTCAGACAGAATTCTATGCCGTAAGCCCTGACTTCCAAGCCATGTTGTCCGAACACCAGACAAAGTCAAAAGCAAAAAGAGTCACATTGTGGCTTAACTTGAGGTATGAATCCTGCCATAGCATGGTGACCTCTGAGGGAGACATGCAACTGACGGAACCAGGAACTAGTAAGATCAGGGAAGATGTGCGACACCAAGCCAGGAGCATGCTAGAATATGAACAGGGGTGGGATTCAAAAATTTTAGCAACCAGTTCTCTGCCTGGTTGCTGGGTGGGCATGGGCATGGTGGGCATGGCCTACTCAGTCTTCTGCACCACAGCAGGGGGGAATTTTCGCCCTCCCCAGGCTCTGGAGACTTTCCTTGAGCCTCCGGGAGGGCAAAAATGGCCTCCTCTGGGCTCCGGAGACTCTCCGGAGGCCGGAAACGAGCTCATTTCTGGACAACTGGAACTTTCAGAAGGCCTGTTTTTTGCCCTCCCCAGGCTCCAGAGGCTTTTTTTGAGCCTCCGGGAGGGCGAAAATGGCCTCCTCTGGATTCTGGAGGCCCTCCAGAGGCCGGAAATGGGCCCGTTTCTGGACAACTGGAACTTTCGGGAGGCCTGTTTTTCATTCTCCCCAGGCTGTTTAAGCTTGCCAATGTTACTGTTAACTAGATAAACAGGAGAGCTTCTTCATCACACAGAGTGTGACTTCTCTGTCAAGAAGAAAAGCATCTGCTTGGAGGAGGAGGATGTCATCCATTTCTTCCTTTGCAACCCATTCCCATCATTAATCATCATTACAGAAGTCCCCAAACATTAAGAGCTGGTTTCTAGTTAGTTAGTTAGTTTGTTTATTCTCCTTTTCCTTTTCTTTCCTCATTCACTCTTCTTTTTATGGCTTGGTCAAAGATTTGGTCAAAAGCATGTTTTGTTTCTCCTTGTTAACTTATCAGCAACACATATAATAGAGAATAGAACCCACTTTGATACAGATGTTAGAATAATGTACAGTTAGTCCTTGACTTACAACAGTTCATTTAGTGACTGTTCGAAGTTGCAACGGCAATGAAAAAAGTGACTTACAACCATTTTTCAGACTTACGACCTTTGCAGCATCCCCATGGTCATGAGATCAAAATTCAGATGCTTGGCAACTGATTCATATTTATGACGGTTGCAGTGTCCCAGGGTCTTGTGATCCCCTTTTGCGACCTTCTGACAAGCAAAGTCAACGGGGAAGCCAGATTCACTTAACAACTGGATTACTAATTCAATGCCGGCAGTGATTCACTTAACAACTGTGGCAAGAAAGGTCAAAAAATGGGTCAAAACTCACTTAACAAATGTCTCACTTAACAACAGAAACTTTGGGCTCAATTGTGGTTGTAAGTCAAGGACTACCTGTCTGTGTGTAAGAACAGGGAGAATGGGGAGAATATCTTCTCAAGTTACAATTTAGAATTAATATCTAGGCTCCCTTTTCTGAAGTGAAAGATTATGCTTTTATATATATTATGCTTTTATATGCTTGCACTTGGAGGTGCAAGCCTAAATAGATATAATGATAGATACTATTAATAAGGAAGTAATATTTTACAAATGACGCCAGTATGGCCTAATTTTGGATCTACTTATATATAGCTTTTACAGTGGTGTTTATCTACAGCAGCCTGCCAAATTACTGTAGGGTCTCCTACTCCTTTGCAAATTCTGTAACAATATTATAGTATGTTCATTTATTTGAGAAAATACCATATTTTTCAGAATATAAGACGCACCGGAGTATAAGACGCACCAAGATTTCGAAGAGGTAAACAAGGAAAAAAAAGTTTTTGCCCTCCCCAGCCCCCAGGAGCACTCTGCAGGCCTCCCAAACTCTCTGTACACCCCGTTTTTGCAGGTTTCAGGAGGCCAAAAATGGATATATTCAGTGTATAAGACGCGCCAACATTTCCACCCTCTTTTAGGGGGGAGAAAAGGTGCGTCTTATACTCCGAAAAGTACAGTAAATACTGGTTGTCTTGATAGGGAAAACTATTATTGTGTCAATGGCAATGGAAAACGGATTCAAACATCTGAGCAACATGTGAAGCTCCACACCTGTCCTGGATTCTCTACCAGCTGGATTCATGTGACATGTGACATATAAGCAAATCAACCATGCTACAGAAGGCTTCATGCGCCATGCTGGGAAAATGGCTGGGTCCCAAACACAGAGAACTAGAAATTATGGTTTGCTCTCTCATAGTATATTCAATAAACTCCAGTTGCCTGGCTCCTTACTTGCTAAGCCACTAATGATGGTTTACAAGCTGCTTACGAGGCTAAACCATTAAATGGGTGAATGCTTTGTCTTAATCAGAGACAACAGAAGGAACCCAAGTCCTCCTATAGATTTTAGCTGTACAGACAATGGAAACTGCTGATAATAATAGCAATAGCAATAGCACTTAAGATTTATCTACCACTCCATAATGCTTTACAGCACTCTCTGAGAGGTTTACAATGTCAGCGTACTGCCCTCAATAACCTGGGTCCTCATTTTACTGACCTCGGAAGGATGGAAGGCTGAGTCAACCTTGAGCTAGTCAGGATCGAACTCCTGGCTGTGGGCAGAGTTAGCCTCCAATCCTGCATTCTAACCACTGCCCCACCAGGGCTCAACTTACTAAGCTGTTCAACTTACACAACGGATTGATTTTTATTTTATTAATGTGATATGTATATGGCCATCCTTCTCATGGACAGCATGCAACAATTTGGTCTGATAGCTTCTGTTCTCACCTGAACTTGACTGGGGCTGTTTGTCCTGGTTCAGGAGAGGTTCCAGGGGAAGGCTGCAGAGCTATCATCTGAGTCGGCTCCGATCTTCGCCGTTGGGAGGCACCCCCGACATCAGAGCAGGTCTCCCAATAAGCTGTGCCTTTGACTTCCATAGAGTTACGGAAGTTGGGTGATTGCCAGAATGGGCCACCCTCCAACACACCGGGGATGCTGGAAACAGATGAGTTCCAAACGTCAGGGCTGTCTGGCGAATGGGGTAGTGATTCAGAGGCATCTGGAAAGCAAGGGAAACAATCACTCACGGGAGCAGAAGCTCTAAATCAGAGATGTCCAACCTTGGCAACATTAAGACCTGAGGACTTCAACTCCCAGAATTCCCTAGCTAGCCATGCTGGCTGGGAAATTCTGGGAGTTGAAGTCCTCAGGTCTTAAAGATCTATCAGAAGAGAGCTGGAAGGGACCTTGGAGGTCTTCTAGCCCAACCCCCTGCTCGAGAAGGAGACCCTCTACCGTTTGAGACAAGTGGCTGTCCAGTCTCTTCTTAAAAAACCCCAGTGATGAAGCATCCCACAGCATCTGAAGGCAAGCTGTTCCACTGGAGAATTGTCCTCACTGTTAGGAAGTTTCTCCTTAATTCCAGGTTGCTTCCAGGGGTGGGCTGCTGGAGATTTGCCGGGGTTCGGGAGAACCTCTAGATAAGATTCTGTGCAGTTCAGAAAACCCCCAAATCCCACTCCTGGCTGGCTCCATCCACCCCTCCCCTCCCAGGAGTCCCCACATGGCCCGGTTTGGATGCAGGTAAGTGCAGGGCATGCGCGGAGGCTCAGGGAGGGTGAAGAACGGGCCTACTGGAAGTTTGGGAAGGCCAGAAACGGGCCCATTTCTGGCCTCCAGAAGGCCTCCAGAGCCTGGGGAGCCAGTTTTCGCCCTCCCAGAGGCTTGAGGAAAGCCTCTGGAGCCCGGGGAGGCCAAAATCCCTCCCACTGTGGTGCAGGAGGCCAACTAGGCCGTGCCCACCATGGCCACACCCACCCCGCAACTGAACCCCTTGCTAAAATTTTTAAAGCCCACCCCTGGACTTGCTTCTTGATTAGTGTCAAGGTCGGACATCCCTGCTCTAAATAGTTGCATTATCCTGGCGAACGAACCCAGCCCTTTGAAAAGTAATAGGGAATTTGTTGCCCATCAAGATCTCAAGTCTTATCACTTTGCATCACTGGGTCATTTTGGCCCCAGTTCTTAGGCCCTCTAGTTCAACCACATCTTCAGGGTCATGCATTTCTCAGCCCTGAAGATATCAGTCTGCATTCTTAATACATATTGTAAGAAATCATTGCGTATGCAATCCCGAAGGACGCTACAAGCATCCTGTTTGAATGGATGGGATGGCAGGGCACAGTTTCACCCACGAAAAGGACAGCAGGCTTTGACATTTCCCCTGGTTGGCTTGCCAACATTTTGGCTTCACCTGGTTTCGGTTTGCTGCTCCCTTTGGGAGGCTTTTTGAGCGGCAGTGGCGGTGGGATCTTCTCACTGGTTGAGTTTCGTTGACCAGGCTGCGAAGGGATCACAATGGTCTCGTAGGTCTTGTTGCTAATATCCATGCCAGAACAGCCCCACCGATTTGGAGAGAAGAGAATGGGCTGGCCGGTGGTTGGAGATGGTGAAGACCCAAAAGATCGCTGCAGTGGGCTAATCTATCAGACAAAGTAGCAGATGTCATCAGCACCTGGAACCTTCCGTCACCTGTCCTGTAGAAAATTTTGAATCCCACCAGTGCTTAGCATGTGATGAAAAACCAAGCCTATTTGGTTAATTTATGGTTCAGTAGAAAATGGTTTCATTCAATCACCAGCTTAGGAACATTGGGGGGGGGGGGGGGGAATGCAGCCAAAGTCTTGAAGACCCCTATAAAATCCTTCCTTGTACAGTTTAAGGTCAACCAATCTTTTGGTGTTCCATTTCATAGCCAGCTAGGGGAAGCTGAAGGAAGCTATAGACAAAGCTTTTTATATCACTGCCATGTTTCTTGATAAGAAAGGAAAACTGACACGGGACTGTCCCACCTGGAACATTACATGACAGGACACAACAACAAACGGAGTTGTTATCCCAGCACCTTTTCATCCAGCTCATCTTCACTGTCATACGAGAACTCCTGAGAAGTTTCCCAGTCGTAGTCTACGTGCATCTGCATAGCCAACTTCCCAGCCTGGGCCTGCTCCAGCTATTACAAAAGGATAAAAAGAACATCCTTGGTCAGTTCACCATCTAAGAGGGTCTCCTATTCCTTCAAAGGTTATGATGTCGTTCTCCAGGCTGATACCATGCCTGTCAGGCAGAGGGAATCCCCTGCCTTAGACAGCAGTCTGAGAAAAGCCCACCTCCCCTTTGGAGCTCCCATCCAGGATCTGATTCCCCCAATATCTTGTTCTAACAAGGCCTTCAGAACGGTTGCTCTCTCCAACATCTACGTACTCCTCAAACTGTGACCTTCCTGCTCTAGAAAAGTTGTCAATACAGCCTCGCCCTGGTGGGATGCTGCCGGTTTAACAACTGGTGATCCCGTGCTTTGCGTGCTTGCACAGTTTTACAAATACTAACCTTCTGTGTTACCACTTGGGAGTAACACAGCTGAGGCGCGGCAATCCGCTCTCCTGCACCAATCAGCTGAGAAGATAAAGGTAAGTAAAGCACAGGGGCGGGGGGGCGAGCCAACCTGATCATCGGAGCGAACCGGTTCTCTCCCAGCTGATCGTTGGAGCTACCAGTTCGTCCGAACCGGTCTGAGCCAGTAGAATCCCACCCCTGAGCCTGGCTACTGATCAAGAAGGATGGCCATTGTGAAGTAACATTATCTGGAAAGCACAATTCTCCCACCTAAGGTCTAAGGCCCCCTTACCTCCACCTACCAAGTCTTTGCACTCAGCATTCTTGAATCTTCTTGCCACATCTAGAGGCGTTTCACCAGCTGCGTTTACTGGAGGAGAACCAAAACGACACACCAAATCTGAATCCGGAGATTTTCAAACAATGTGCTACACACACAAACAGCGAGGACAGGTGCACCATCATTTTGTATGGCGTGTAGATACTTGCACCTCATAGAGATAATCACATAAAGCTGATTATCTATTTTAATGGAAATAGGATGGTATCACATTCATCAAAGCCCAGTCACCCAACCTTCTTGCATTTGTCCACCATATTATTCATGTCAGACTGCGGTGCTATCTCAAAATTAAATGAATTTCCAAACTGCCAATCTTTAAGGAAACCTTTCTTTAATTGAGCTCAGCCACCGGATCATGACTCCGCGCGGACAAGACTGACCTTTTGCCTCCCAGTCCCTCCCTTTCCGATCCCCAAGTCTCTGCTTCTCATTGGCTGTCTTCCAAGTCTTCTTCAGACTTCTTTTCCTCGTCATTTCTCAGGAATGTGCACCCTCCCCTGATTTCAACCGAGCTTCAAAGGGATTTTGCAGGCAAAAGTTTCAGAGTTTATCTTTCGTTCTCCCCTGCTCTCTCTATGCCAGCGTTGCAATGCTGACAATTCACCTAATCAAAGAAAGCATTTCTTTTTAAAGAGTCCCCAAACTTTTTCGTGGAAAAAGCTTTTCTGAATGTAAGAAGTTGCAAAGGATAATATTCTCAGCCAGCCTGGAAAATTCCATTGACAGGAACTGACCAGGCAGCTGTATTTTATTTTTATTCCACTACTGGCAATGGGCTCCAGTATTCTATCATGCTGAGAACAGTAGGCAGGTTTGGGGCCATAAAACAAGCTTGGCACACACAACTTTATCCCCCAAGAAAGCAAGAATAAACAAGAAGCTCAAGAGGAAAATGTATGAAGGTTGTTTCCAGCCATCTGCCCCCCAAGCTGGTTGCTTCACTCTGCCTTATGGTAGGATCGGCCACAGACTCCTGTGCAGTTTCCGAAAGATGCCCTAATTAATTCATGAGCCGTGAGCCGAACTTCAAAAGAAATACAATCATTTATTAGGAGCACCATTTCGGCAATATTCGGATGCAGTTAGAACTGACCCCACGTAGATTTACGTTCCCCTATGACCCTGTCTCTCCCCTCCTCTCTGGCCATGTCATAAATCACATTCTCTAATTAACCACTTTGGTTGGCTGTGAAATCCAACACCCTCCTTCTGACTGCGGTCAGGAAGAATGTATGGAATGCACTTCAGTTAGGGAAATCAATCAGCTCTATCAGTTCTCCCTCCCTCCTGCTCATGGCAACTTGAAAGCTTTGCAAGTTGACAACTCCCTTGCAGTCAGACTCTGAAGTTACCAATCCTTCTCCCTCCGTTTCTGACCAGGTGGGCATCCTACCTGCCTTTGTAGAAGCTTTCCCTTTCAGTAACAACTTGATGCAATTGGGCTGATTATACTGGACTCCATAATGTAAGGCTGTGTTCCCATCCGCAGTGGGTCGGTCCAGATTTCCCCTACGTACAGATAGATAGCAAAGTGGGCAAATTTCACGTCTGTTTGTGTTTTTTTTTAATCAGTAAAGCGTAGAAAACCGCAGTTCTTAAAAAGGACCTAAGACACATGCTTTCAATTTGCACAACTGCACAAGGGACGCGTTTGTACTTCCAAAGTGACAAAGTGCAAACAGAAACACAGCTTTGTTTAAACAGCCAACCCCTTTTCTCCCCGGTTCTGCCAGTGCAATCTTCCCAGTAAATATTACAGTTTATACTTCTAAAGATTGCAAATAAATTTGCAGATGGATTGGTGGGACGGGATGAGAAGGAATTAAAACGGGCAGCATATTGCAAACTGCATGAAGAGTCTAAATAAATCGAGTTGCTTGCTGCTTAGAAAGCATGTGGGCAAGGCTAGTGAGTTTCATTCTTACTCTCCCCTCAGCACAAATCTAACCATACCAGGAGCAGAAGAAGACTTCCCAGAAGAGGCCCCGGAATCCAGTAACAAGGGTCCTTCAAACTAAGACTTACCCATTCTGAATAATGAAATCCACCAATGGAAGGGAAGTTTTGTTGGCATAGCGTACTGCCCAATGCAGGGCTGGTTCACCTTGTTCCTTTTAGAAGAAGAAGAAGAAGCAACATTTTGCAAAACTTTTTATGACAGAAGTCAAATTAAAATTAAAATTAAAAAATGAACCACAAAGACATCTGAATTACATTACATCAAGCAACAGCAATAGCACTTAGACTTATATACCGCGCCATAGTGTTTTACAACACTCTCTGGGCAGTTGACAACGTCAGCATATGGCTCCCAACAATTTGGGTCCTCATTTTACCCATCCTGGAAGGATGGAAGGCTTAGTCAACCTTGAGCCTATCAGGATCGAACTCCAGACTATGGGCAGAGTTAGACTGCAGTACTGCACTTTAACAACTGAGCCACCACCAGGGCTCCTTAACATCCTAAGTTATATTAAAGGATGCCTCATAGATGTCAGATGTGGGCTTCTGTTATAAGAGATTCAACCTATAATTGTCAATTCTTTTGTCAACAATACCTATGCCATGGTGGCCATTGGCAAGCTAAAACCATGAGCCTTGGTAGTACAGTGGTCTAAAGCACCCTGTTATTAAGACCAGCTGCCTGCAATTACTGCAGGTTCAAATCTCACCAGGCTCAAGGTTGACTCAGCCTTCCATCTTTTCTAAGGTAGGTAAATTGAGGACCCAGTTTGTGGGGGCAATAAGCTGACTTTGTATAAATATGCAAAAGTATGAAGGCTATTGCTTAGCGCATTGTAAGCCGACTCAGCCCTTTCACCTTTCTCCTCCAATCCAGGAGCCCTCAAGCATCTTAATCTCTCCCCTGGCTCAAGCTGATAAATGGAGGAGAACTTGTGGCTCAGAGGTTACTACAACTGCCTAATATGCAGGCAGCCCAAGTTCAAATCCGAGTAAGGGTATGGCTAGCTGATGAGAGCTAAATAGCTTGAAATAGATCTATACTAATCTCCATTTATTTCTTTATCAGCAAAATATAAATGTTATATATATAGGTAGGTAGGTAGGTAGAGATAGAGATAGAGCTATACAGATAGAGATAGAGATAAATATAAATATAAATCAGGAACACGAAAGTCATTTCTCAAAGCAACCACGTTTTTGCTGATTTCTGTTTCTCGGGCCTCACTTTATCCTACTTACCTGACCTTCAGGAGTCACGAGAGGTTTGGACAGATCGTGGCCTTCAGCAAAAGCCTGGAGCAGTGCCAAAAGATCCCTGCTTCGGATAGCATCCCAGACTCGGTAAGGATCTTCCTTGGTAGCTTTATGGACATACTTGCGTTCCATATACTTAGCCATGATGAATTCCTTCCTGGTATTCCTGCATTTAGGTAGAGGAAAAATTCTCCAAAAGTGTTTTTTTTTTTTAAGACCTTAGAGCAGGGGTGAGGAATGATGGTCCTTTTATGATTTGTGGACTTCAACTCCCAGAATTCCTGAGTCAGCTATGCTGGTTCAGGAATTCTGGGAATTGAAGTCCACAAGTCATAAGGGGGCCATTGTTCCCCACCTTTGCCTTAGAGGTTCATAAGAAAGGCTCAGCTCAGTCAGTCTTGCCTTCTATTACAGTGGTACCTCAGTACTCATCGTTAATTGGTTCCAGGAGGTGTGATGAGTACCAAAAACGATGAGTACCAAGCAGGGGTGAAATCCAGCAGGTTCTGACAGGTTCTGGAGAACCGGTAGTGGAAATTTTGAGTAGTTCAGAGAACTGGTAAATACCACCTCTGGCTGGTTCCACCCCCATCTATTCTCTGCCTCCCGAGTCCCAGCTGATTGGAAGGAAATGGGGATTTTGCAGTAACCTTCCCCTGGAGTGGGGAGGGAATGGAGATTTTGCATTTTCCTTCCCCTGCCACGCCCACCAAGCCACACCACACCCACCAAGCCACGCCCACAGAACAGGTAGTAAAAAAATTTGAATTTCACCACTGTTACCAAGCAAATTTTTCCCCATAAGACATAGTGTAGTGAGTCACAAGGCAGCTGACCCCGACAAGTTCTAGCTTGTGCATTGAGTACCAAACAAACAATGAGTACCAGGACAAAATTTTTGCATCAAAATGCGTTGAGTACCAAATTCGATGAGTTTCAAAGCATTTGAGTACCAAGGTACCACTGTACTTTCAATGGGCGTGTGCTTCTCTATGTTCTCCATCCCCATTGTTTAATCCTCAAGTAATCGGTACTTAGAAGCAGGGACTGCCAAAATCTGAAGGATTGAAAATGGCTGTTGGTATATATCAAGTCCACGGGGAGGGCATTTCAAAGCCCAAAGACTGCTTCTAAGCATGACCCAAGATGTTACGCAGGTGAAGGAATGGATACTATGTATATACCATCCACTGTTAATTTTGGAACCACTGGTTGCTAGATCTATAGCTAACAAGGTAATCTTGGTAGACAATGGCTGGTAAAGCATCCAGCTGAGGAAAGCAAAGGAGCAGATTTCTAAATATCAGAGTTACATTGCAAAGTCACAATGATTTGCTTATTTATATGTATTAAAATTATGCACAGCTTGGGTAGCGGCATTCAAGTTTCCCTGTTGGTGAAAGCCGATTTTGGGGGTGAAAAAAATAAATGAAGAGAAAACAACAAGACTAAGAAGCAGGTGAATGTTTTAACAATTGCCAACAGCCAAGTTCAAATTTACTGGCTGCGCCCATCCTATGCAAAACCACAGACCCAGGTTCTGAATTTGTTTATTTATTTATTTATTTAGAGAATTTATGTGGCTGCCCATTCACTCTCAGTGATTCTGAGTGACCTTACCCTTGTTTCTTCTTCTTGTATTCCGATAACAGAGTGGTGAAATCCAAATTTTTTTACTACCAGTTCTGTGGGTGTGGCTTGGTGGGCGTGGTATGGCTTGGTGGGCATGGCAGGGGAAGGATACTGCAAAATCCCCATTCCCTCCCCACTCCTGGGGCCAGCCAGAGGTCGTATTTGCCGGTTCTCCGAACTGCTCAAAATTTCCGCTACCGGTTCTCTAGAACCTGTCAGAACCTGCTGGATTTCACCCCTGCCCCAATCCTCTACCCCAAGTCTGTCCTCATCAGATGCCTCCATAAGCCTTCCCCCATCCCATCTCTGCCCCTCCAAAAGCAATAGCCATATCACTCACATATCGCTGCTCGAGGAAGGTTTGGGGCTGTTCTGGATTGGCAAGGTGGCTTCCATGACATCATTAAACTTGGCATTTCCAATGCTGACTGCCAGCTGTGAGTGAGACAAGAGCCATTTGTCACTGGCAGGATGGGCAATCATCATATCATATCAAGAGCATCCACAAGCTATGTTGGACTAGCCAGTAAGGTAAAAATGAAGGCAAGAGGTTGAGAAAGGAAACTTGGTGTGCTATTTTCTACCCTTTGCTAACTACATGAGTCTGTCACCTGCACTTCTATAACTGTCTGGTTGGGTTCTGCAACCCAACCAGACAGACACAGAGGATAATTAGAAGTGCAGAAAAAACAATTACTACCAACCTGCCTTCCATTGAGGACCTGTATACTGCACAAGTCAAAAAGAGGGTTGTGAAAATATTTACAGACCCTTCACATCCTGGACATAAATTGTTTCAACTCCTACCCTCAAAATGACACTATAGAGCACACCAAAACACCTAGACACAAGAACAGTTTTTTCCCAAATGCCATCACTCTGCTAAACAAATAATTCCCTCAACACTGTCAAACTATTCACTAAGTCTGCATTACTATTACTATTAGTCTTCTCATCGTTCCTATCACCCATCTCCTCCCACTTATGACTCTATGACTGTAACTTTGTTGCTTGCATCCTTACGATTTATATTGATACTCTTTCCTAGTATGATTCGATAACTTAATTGTACCCTATGGCTATCATTAAGTGTTGTACCTTATGATTCTTGACGAATGTATCTTGTCTTTTTATGTACACTGAGAGTATATGCACCAAAGACAAATTCCTTGTGTGTCCAATCACACTTGGCCATTAAAGAATTCTATTCTATTCTATTCTATTCTATTCTATTCTATTCTATTCTATTCTATTCTATTCTATTCTACTCTACTCTACCCTACCCTACCCTACCCTACCCTACCCTACTCTACTCTACTCTATTCTACTCTGCTCCTATTCCTTTTCCTTTTCCTTTTCCTTTTCCTATTTTATTCTATTTTATTTTATTTTATTCTATTCTATTCTATATAAAGTTTGGCTAGTGTGAAAAATAGAAGAATATCATCATTATGGTTTGTCACACAATCTGCCAGACGTTCAGGTTGGATTTGGCACTTTTGTCTGACTTTCGAGTTCTTCCCAAGGACTTGGGATAGGTTATTATTATGGTCTCTTGCACTGTCAACCAGATGTTCAGACTGGATTTGGCATTTTGGTCTATCTGTCGAGTTCTTTCCAAGGACCTGGGGCAGGCAGAGGTGGATGTTTGATAGTGTTACAGATACCGTTGCAGGATATAAGCAGTTCCAAGTAAAGCCACCTTTAATTATTATTATTATTATCATGGTTGGTTTGCACAGTCAGTCAGATGTTTAGATTGGATTTGGTATTTTGTCCACCTGTTATTATTATTTCTGCCTTTTTTCGGGAGGTCAATGTGAGATAAGCTGGCTTGAAAGAGTATGACCAGTTCAAAATCAGTTTCCATGGTTGAGGAGACTTCTATCGCTTGCTTCTAGTTCAAGGCTTTACTGCTACACCACCCTGTCTCGCATCATGAATATTCCACTCAACTCCGCTAGTTTTGAAACCTGTTCTCAACTTTATAAATATCTGGTCTCTAACCTCTACAAGACGACATCTGCAATGAAACGTCTGCAAGAAAATAACCAAGCTTAGAGAGCACCAAGGACGCCTCCTATCGGGTCTCTGCTAGATGTGACTTTCTCACAATGTACCAGTAAGTTTAAAGATAAAGGTAAAGGTTCCCCTCGCACATATGTGCTAGTCGTTCCCTACTCTAGGGGGCAGTGCTCATCTCTGTTTCAAAGCCGAAGAGCCAACGCTGTCCAAAGATGTCTCCATAGCCATGTGGCTGACATGACTAAACGCCAAAGGTGCACGGAACGCAAAGGTGGTCCCTATTTTTTCTATTTGCATTTTTTATGTGCTTTCAAACTGCTAGGTTGGCAGAAGCTGGGACAAGTAACGGGAGCTCACCCTGTTACGCGGCACTAGGGATTCGAACCGCCGAATTGCCGACCTTTCTGATCGATAAGCTCAGAGTCTTAGCCACTGAGCCACTGCGTCCCCCACCACCAGTAAGCTTAGGATGCCCCAAAACCTAGTGGTGAAGAAGCTCCTTTGGCCCTAACATGAAAAAGAAGATGCCGGAGACAAAGAATAGCAGAAAGGACATGTTTTTTTCTCCAACTGAGAGTTGGCACTTACCAACAATTCCGAGGTGCTGAGCACATCTAGCGTCAAAGATTGGATGCGGGAATAGTGCACCCCTAATTCACGGTGAATCCCTGAGCACTCGATGCATGTCAAGATGCCAAGGTTGGTGGAGAGCCAGGTGGGATCTGCAAGATAGCAACCCAGGAAGAAGGTTTGACATACATATCATGACACATCCTTCCCCTTCTACTTATTCTGCAAACAGACCTTTCTATCTCAGCTCAATGAAAGACAAAACACGCCCCAGTTCTCTACTGCAGATGGGATGCTCTTCACGGCCTACAGAGACGTTTTGAAATTTGTACTCAAGACCAGTGGTGGGTTTCAAAATTTTTTACTTGTTCTGTGGGTGTGGCTTGGTGGGCATGGCTTGGGGGCGTGGCAGGGGAAGGATACTGTAAAATCTTCATTCCCTCCCCAATCAGCTGGGACTCGGGAGGCAGAGAATAGATGGGGGCCCTTGGCCAGTCAGAATTTTTACTACCAGTTCTCTGAACTACTCAAAATTTCTGCTACCGGTTCTCCAGAACTGGTCAGAACCTGTTGAAACCCACCTCTGCTCAAGACAGTGGTAGTGGGGGGTGGGGGGTATTTAACAACCGGTTCTCCCAGGGTCGGGTTGGCCATCACGGGAGGCTCATGTGCAGTGGAGCTGGAGGATGGGGATGGGCCACACCTCTCACGACAGCCAACCTGACCATGAGCGAACTGGTTGTTAAATTATTTGAATCCCACCACTGGGCTCAATTGAGGTCGTAAGTTGAGGACTACCTCTAAGTGCTTGGGCACATGGGAGTCCTTGCATGAAAAAGCTGCTAAAATCAGGAGTGAAATTCAGCCAGTTCTATCCAGCTCAGGTGACCTGGTAGCGGTGGCGGAGGGAGGGTCCGCCCACCCGCCTGGATGTCATCATGTCCCGTTTTTGACCCTCTGCGCATGAGCAGAAGGCTCTGCGCATGCGTGGAGGAGGTGCACGCTCTCACATTTACGAACCAGTAGTGAAGGTAAGTGTATTTCACCCCTGGCTGAAACCCACCTGGGGCTCCACAATCACAGCACCATCGATTTCCTGGCATGTTTTTCACTTCGTCGATAATGAGTTTGGTGAGTTCTTGCAATCCGCTGTCAGCCACGCCTCCAGATGAAGACATGGAGCCTCCTGGGTCCCCCTTGAAAGCATTGCTAAGCGCTTCGTCCTTACTGTTCTGGAGCACCGACACCCACCTGGGGAATGGGAGAAAGCATCAGCCAGGATGCAACCGATTGAACGAAGGAAATCAGCATATAGGATGTTGATTGTTTAATCCAAAGGCCAGAATTCACTATTCAAACTTTTTAATTAGTTCATCAAAGGATAAAATACAAAGGGAAAAAAAACTACGGAAAAGTAAGAAGAGAGGAAGGGGAAAAGAGGGGGTATTGTGTAATGGGAGAAAAAAAAGAAAAAAGGCACCCAATTTCCGATTCTCTTTGGCACAGTCAAAGGTAACAACTTACAACTACAACTTTTTGCTTTCACACAGCAATATGTACAAGCCATTTCTTTTTTTTTTATGTTTATTTAAAATATTTTTATTCCCCTTTTCTACTTAAAAAAATATTCAAAGAGGCTAAATCAATTGAGTCGACAAAGTTTAACATAGTCTTGCATTCAAACACTCATTTGCAGATGATGAAACAAAATACAGTTTAAATAGTGTTAAGGTTTCTAGATTGCAGGTTGTATCCAATTAAGTTGATTGTTCTGTAAACCATTGAGTCTGTGTTGATTTAGCGGTATATAAGTAGAATGACTACAGTAAATTTATTTCTGCTCTAAAAACCATTTTTATGTATAAAACATAAATTTTATATTATAGAAATGTACAAGCCATTTCTATAACAATAAGCCCGTTTAATTTACAAAAAAAGATTCAAAGTTTCATTTTTTAATTTTTTTTTCTCATTGCAAATAAAAAAAATCCAGAAGCAATTTCGAACTAGAGACAAAATCAAATATAATCTCTTATTTCAATAAAAGAAACATTTTAACCATCTCAGCTTCCCTTGCTATGTGGAATAGTATATCATTCATTCCAAGATCCTTCTCACAGCTGCTGCTATTAAGCTTGTTGGATAAACTTTTCTAGTTGTTAATGTCTGTGCTAGATTACTCGTACCCCACCTTTACAGGAGCCTCTGCTATTGATAATCCCTTCCTGCAGCGACTTTATCAAGATATTTCAGTCTCCATCTGCCTTCACTAACCTCTTGCTTGCTCAATGAGTCTGCAAAATTGGCAGAAAGGAACCATTGATTCTCTTTTAGCGTCCAGGTCTGAATTTATTACACAAATATAATCCAAGTAGTCCTCGAGTTACGACCACAATTGAGCCCGAAATTCATGTTGCTAAGTGGAATGTTTGCTAAGTGAATTTTGCTCTATTTTGCGACTTTTCTTGCCACAGTTGTTAAGTGAATCGTTGCATTTGTTAAGTTAGTAACACGGTTGGTTAAGTGAATCTGGATTTCCCCATTGACTTCGCTTGTCAGAAGATTATCAAAGCCACCGTCATAAGTGTGAATCAGTTGCCAAATGCCTGAATTTTGATCATGTGACCATGGAAATGCTGCAACCAGTTGTTAGTGTCCCAAAGATGCTTTTTCAGGAGGCAACTGGACTTTCCTGTTTTTTCATTTGAGGACGCTTCGCTTCTCATCCAAGAAGCATCTTCAGCTCTGATAGGATAGTGGGGAATGGAAGGATTTATATTTCTTGCTGACAGCTGGACATTTGCATCCTTTTAGAGGGTCAACATGGGACAACCATGACCTGGATGACGGAGAATCTCTACAGACTTTTAGCTATACAATTTGGGATGAACACCCTTGGAATGGTGTGGGAGTAGGAAGGGATTTCCAGAGGAAAAACTGCAGACTACAGGAACTAGGAGCACTATTCAGGTGACCCTGAGGACACAGATAAACCTCCAAGCGCTTCAAGGACCCTCTAAAAGGATGCAAATGATCAGCTGTCTGCAAGGAATATAAATCCTTCCATTCCCCACTATCCTGTCAGAGCTGAAGAAGTTTCTTGGATGAGAAGCGAAACATCTTCAAAAGAAAAAAAAAAACCCAAGGAAGTCCAGTTGCCTCCTGAAAAAGCACCTTTGGGACAACCATGACCTGGATGACTGAGAATCTCTACAGACAGTTGTAAGTGTGAAAAGCGGTCATAAGTCACTTTTTTCAGTGCCATTGTAACTTTGAACGGTCACTAAATGAACTGTTGTAAGTTATTTATCTGTAGAGATAAATAAAGTTGAGAACCTAAGCAGGGGTGAGTTCTACTTACTTTTACTACTGGTTTGCAACAGGATTGTGCATGCACACTGGCTTTGCTCGAGCGCACGCCAAGCTTCTGCGCATGCGCAAATTGCCTATGACAACATCCGGTACGGTGGGAGGAGCCTCCTGCCGGTTTTACTACCGGTTCTTGAGAACCGGTCCAAACCGGGGGCAACCCACCACTGGACCTAAGGCATCCTACCCTAATCCAAACTTTACTCCTCCACTAATATTTCTAGTTCGTGGTTTTCCCAATCAAAATAAAACAGGAGACTGGGAACTCTCAACTTACACTATACAATCTTGTTCTTCTTCGGCTTGGAAGTGGTATGTTCTATTGTCTGCAAAAAAAAAAAGAAAAAGAAAAAAAGAAATAAGAGAATCCCTTGAAGATAAGAAATGGATAAATAACAGTGGTGGCAGTTTAAAAACAACCCTAATCTTTATTGTTAGCGGGAGAAGCTGGAGAGAGTGCAGAGATAGCATAATGAAAGCAAATATTAGATATGCAGAGACGTTTGTACTGTTATTTTTAGCTTTTTCTACACACACACACACACACACACACACACACACACACACACACGCACACACAGAGTGGTGCATGGGTGATAGCCATGTCCTCTTCCCCAACAGCAATCCAGCCCAAAATTACATTGTAAAAATTCAACCGCAAAATTCCTTATTTTCGGCAACATTATTTTGTATATGACTTAAATAAGAATGGTTATAAGACTGGGAGAGATCTCCAGAGATCAAAACCCTTGCTTATTGATCCTAAAATATTTTTGAATCATGCAACAGGATTTTGCCACTGAATTTTAGTAATGCAATTTGAGGCTCGTCTAGGCACAGTCTGAAACCTTGTCCTGGGGATTCATACCTGGCACAAAAATTAAATATATCCAGACAGTGTTTACTACAATGGGCTTCCCTGCGACAAGTCTATGGACTTTGAGGAAGCAGAACCTAAAGACTATTGTCATTTTTTTCTTTTGATGTTGAAAAAGGTTCTTGAGAAGACCATGGACAGCCCAAAAAAACACACACAACAGATAGACCACAGAACAATCCAGAATTGTAACTCAAGGCATAAGCAACTAGGCTTCAATTAGAATAGAATAGAATAGAATAGAATAGAATAGAATAGAATAGAATAGAATAGAATAGAATAGAATAGAATAGAATAGAGTAGAATAGAATAGAATAGAACTCTTTAGTGTTATGGGAATTAGTTGTTTAGCAGAGTGATGGCATTCGGGGAAAAACTGTCCTTGTGTCTGGTTGTTCTGGTATGCAGTGCCCTATAGCATCGTTTTGAGGGTAAAAGTTGAAACAATTTATGTCCAGGATGCGAGGGGTCTGTAGATATTTTCACAGCCCTCTTTTTGACTCATGCAGTATACAGATCCTCAATGGAAGGCAGGTTGGTAGCAATTATTTTTTCTGCAGTTCTAATTATCTGTTGAAGTCTGTGTTTGTCTTGTTTGGTTGCAGAGCCAATAATATAATAATAATATAACACAATAATTATATAAATGTTTATCACGTTTTGGACACGTTATATAAAGACCTAACTCTCTGCAGCAGTCCCTAAAGCTAAGAAAAATGGAAGGAACAAGAAGAAATGGACAACCAGCAGCAGGTGGATGGATTCAATTGAATCAATGATGAGGACACCCCTGGAAGAGTTGAAGAACCAGGCTGAAGCTAGATAACCCTGGGAAAAAAAATCTGTCTACATGATTGCTAAGAGTTAACACCAACGTAATGGTGTGTAACTATTATAATCATATCAAACTAGAGCCTTTGAACTGAAGAATCAAAAGACATTGTATTGACTCTATCGTTCGCCAATGACTTAACTGAAGGATGGAGCAAATTCTTATCAAATGTTCACGCATAGGAATAATTAACACGTCCCGTAAGACAGAATGTTATCAAAAACAAAGTTCTACGTCTCAAGAAAGCATATAATGTGTCTTGTGTTATGCACAGCGGTGTCTCCAAAAGAGGCAAGATGATGGACGGTAGCATGTTTGAAGTTATGTTCCTTTTGGGCATGGATCAACACATGTACCAAAGAATTGATCTTAATTCTGTCTCATCCATAAACTTGCTTCTTTTTGAAATGTTCTTCTTGGAAATGTTGGTGGTTAGATAAGTCGTAACCTAAGAATGGGTTGGCAGTGCAATGCAACTGCAAATAGAAAGGGTGATTTTAGGCACTATTAACAGCACCCTAGTTTTCAAGTCATGAGAATTAATTATTCCACTAGTCCAGGGGTGTCAAACTCAATTTCACTGAGAGCCACATCAGGGCTGTGGTTGACCTTGGGGGGCCGGGTGGGTGTGGCCGACTGGGTGGGTATGGCCAACTGGGTGAGTGTGGCCAACTGGGTGGGCGTGGCCAGCTTTATGCCACTCCCCAAACTGTTGACATGTTTCCCCTTCGCATTATGTAGACTGGGCCGAAGCCACGCTGGCCCGATCTTTCTTCTTCCCACTGGGTAGATCAGGACGACCCTGCGGGTTGGATCCGACCACATCATGGGCCGGATTTGGCCCGCGGGCCTTGAGTTTGACACCTCTGCACTAGTCAGACCTCCCCAGAGCAAAATTCATGAGCAGTGCAGACAGAACAACGATTGCTATTGGCAGATAAACCACAGTTACTTCTGCGTTGAGACCTGCATACGTTTCACTGTAGAAAAAAACAACAACTCTACATTTCGTAGCTATGATGAAGTGGGCGGTGACAAAAATTTCTTTTCCCTTTAATCTAGTTCTCATCGCTTCAAATAACTATCTCCAACCAATTTTAAACTTAACATGAAAGAAATGTGAGAAAAAACATTCTGTCCTCAGCTATTCCGGCACAAGATATTTAAAGAGGACAACACAGCCCAAGTATTGTGATAAAATGCTTACTTACGTGTGACAAGATCAAAGGATTTTTTATCCTCTGGATGCGGCCTTACTTGGCAGGTCAAGAGATTTAACTTTACTGGAGGACGGTTTATCTGTTCAAGAAAAATTGGGATAATGAACCAGTTTCTGCGACAAATATTACAGGTAGTCCTCACCTTACAACCTCAGCTGAGGCCAAAATTTCTGTTGCTAAGCGAGACATTTGTTAAGAGAATAAGGCTCCATGTTACTATGGCTCCTTCCTTGCCATAGTTGTTAAGTGAATCACTGCAGTTGTTAATTTAGTAACACAGTTGTTAAGTGAATCTAGCTTCCCCATTGACTTTGCTTGTCAGACGGTCACAAAAGTGGATCAAGTGACTCCGGGACACTGCAACCGTCATAAATATGAGTCAGTTGCCAAGTGTCTGAATTTTGACCATGTGACCGTGGGGATGCTGAAACGGTCGTAAGTGTGAAAAACGGTCATAGGTCACTTTTTTCAGTGCTGTTGTAACCTCGAACAGTCACTGTTTGAACTGTTGTAATTTGAGGACTACCTATATTTCCTAATTCTTTTATCACATTCTCAGATTGAGTAATAATGGAGAAATATTACCAATTAATCGAATTACTGACATTTGCTCTCATTCTACATTAAAGATATTTATTTACTGTGCAGCACAGAAGAACACACCCGGCTATAAAGCAGACAATATAATCAGATAAAGACTGAAAGTTGAAAAAGCCTGAAATTATAAAGAAATTCACCAAATTTCTCCACAAACTGGTTTCTTAAGATCTGCCTGGAAAATTTATTGTTATGGAGGCATCTCAGTGGATTCGTGTGCAATTTACAAGGTCTTTAAATAACCATCTCTATTTTTCTATTTCACTTTTTATTCCATTTCTCTATAAGCTTTACGAGGGACGCGGTGGCTCAGTGGCTAAGACATTGAACTTGTCAATCGAAAGGTCGTCAGTTCAGCGGTTCGAATCCCTAGTGCCGTGTAATGGGGTGAGCTCCTGTTACTTGTCCCAGCTTCTGCCAACCAAGCAGTTTGAAAGCACATAAAAAATGCAAGTAGGAAAATAGGGACCACCTTTGGTGGGAAGGGAACACCGTTCCGTGCGCCTTTGGCGTTGCGTCATGCCGGCCACATGACCACGGAGACGTCTTCGGACAGCGCTGGCTCTTCGGCTTTGAAACGGAGATGAGCACCGCCCCCTAGAGTCGGGAATGACTAGCACATATGTGCGAGGGGAACCTTTACCTTTTTAATGTTTGGAAATTGAAAGTTTACCTGTACCTTTTAAGGCAGGGGTGGGCAAATGTGGCTCTTTTACAACCTGTGGACTTCAACTCCCAGAATTCCTGAGAATTTGCCCACCCCTGTTTTAAGGTATCAATAGGAGAAGGTAGTAAGAAAGATGAGAAGATGAAAAAGATGAGAGGGATAATAGCAATAGACGTCTTCGGACAGCGCTGGCTCTTCGGCTTTGAAACGGAGATGAGCACCGCCCCCTAGAGTCGGGAACGACTAGCACATATGTGCGAGGGAAACCTTTACCTTTTATAAGCTTTACTCGCTCACTTTCAATGTTCATGAATGGCTGATTTTTTTTTCCCCCTAAAAGTTTTGTAGCCAAGGCAAGATAGGTAGTCAACGTTGTTCATTTGTCAACGTCTCTTCAGGGAAATCTACTTTGTAGGGAGCCAGCCTTTCAATGTCAAAGACGGCCATGATGGATTACATCTTTAAATCATGTGAGAAGACCTGGGGCTTACCAGAGCACATTCCAAGAGAATATGATATATTCCCAGTACAGAAAATAGTACCTTGCACAATCGAATAACATACTAGACCTTTTCCATGCCATTCTCATCGGCTATGTTCAGGCAATAGATTTAATCAGGTCAATATAAACAGACGTGTGCAAAAATCCTCAATCCAGGAACAGAAAGTTCTGGAGAATTCTAGAATGTTCTGTTTATTTCCAAAACACACCAGAACCTCTTTGTGGTTGTGGTCTGCCAGCAGCCTGCAGCGCTGGCAGCAAAGTCGGACAGTGAGGAGGCTGGGGAGGAACATGGGCCAGTCCTGGAGTCTGGGGAAGGTTCGGACGAGGGCTCTGCGTCGGAGGCAGAGAAAGGGCCATCTGGGAGATAGGTGCTGCCTCCGGAGACTCCAGAGTCGGACCTCAGCAAGGCAGAGGAACGGGGAAGCATGCGCAGAGCTGCCAGAAGGCAAGAACAGCTAAAACAAAACTGTAGGAGTAGGGTTTGGAGATGATTGGCCCCTCCCATAAGACTTAAAAGAGGAGCAAAGGCATGCAGGCCTTTGCAGGAAGCAACGTTGTCAATTCTATGCAGTTTAAAGTCTGAAGCTCTGTTTGATTCTGGACTCCGTGTGGCTTTGCCAATTAGGTCTTTGGCAGCGTGTCAAGGGAGATAAAGATGGATGATTATCAGCCTTATCCCGAAGGACTCTTTACCACTATTTGGGACTCATCTGTGAATGAACAGAATTCACAGCTGTTAAAATAAAACAGATTTTTGGGACTACTCGTTTGTTTTACTGACTCAGGAGGCCTAGGTCAAAACAGTTGTGCTGGGAATGATCCTGTGGAATAGTATATCCAGAAGGAAATGGGAATCTTCTGGACAAGCCTATCGGCTATGTTCATACAATGCATTTTGCTCTATTAGTTCTTTCGTTCAATCTTAGTACCTTCTTTGTCTCCATCCTGCTCGGTTAATGCATGGTTTGATGTACTGTGCAATACCAAAACATGGACGACACCAGAACCAGGTTAAGCATATGAAGAGAGACTACTTTGAACATCCCCCCAATGGGGCATCAACACAAAGCAATTTTAATCTGGAATTTTTCAGCGAAGGAATTCCACCCTCTACCCCACTTACTGTGCTGTGAGAAATAGTGAGACATCCGTATTTCACCCCACACTTTCTCTTCTGCCACACCTTCCGAATTCTAGGATAAGCAAAGAGGAAGGAAAAATGAACACAATATTGAGAATTAGCCTGCATCAGAGGCCATGTACTTCCTGTTATTGTAGATCCGGGATTGCCATCCCCTTTGGTAGCAGTGCATCCCTTCAGGAATGAATCAGTCTGTCTATCTGTCTACTACTAAATGTATAGGCTGCCCAAATCTATCATTAAGTAAACAAGGTGATGGTTAAAAAAAAAAGAAAAAGAAATTGAGAAAAATACCTTAGCACTCTAAAAATCAAGCAGGAATGTGCAAAATATACAATTTAGGGAATGGAACTTTCCAGGAAAGAGAAGAATGATTTTTTTTTTACCTTCCAGACAATGTCTGTCTAGCATTTCCTACACGATTTATGGCAGACATGTCTGATCCAGTGGTGGGATTCAAATATTTTAACAGCCGGTTCTCTAATGACTAGCTGGATGGCGTAGCCACAGTGGGCGTAGCCAGGGGGTGTGACAGGTAGCACTCGGCCTCCTGCACCCCCCTGGGAGCAAAAACAGGCTGTGGGGGGGGGCGGCCCCCTGCGCTTCGTTTTGGGCCTAGTAGGCCTCCCTGCACTTACCTGGGAGCCAAAACGGGGCGTGTGCGGACTCCTGGAAGGGGAGGGGAGGGGAAGGGCCAGCCAGCCAGCAATTTAACAACCGGTTCGCCTGAACTGGCTGAAACCGGCTGAATCCCACCATTGGTCTGATCCAAGGGAAATAAATGAGATTCCAGTGTTCCTGAAACAATTCATTTCTGAAAACAATACCTTTTACGACCTCCTCACGCTACCTCCTCACTAAACAGTTTGGCATGGTCAGAACTTTCCCAAGCAAAATATCGTAGGCCTACTTTCTAAGATGTAAGAAATGGAAGAGACAATCCTTTTTCTGGAGCTATGCCCACATATCTAATTTCTGAAAGATGCCCTCTTGATGAGATGATGACAGGTTTGGAAAGAAGAACGGAGGGTGGGCAGTCTACAGGTTGTCCTTGAAAGCAGGGAGAGTGTTTGAGCTCTTGACAAATGATGACATTTTAGAAATGAATGGGTCCATTAAAATAAAATGTTGAGTAAGGCATTTTGGAAGATGCTTATTTCCACCCACCCCACCCTGTGATGCAGCACAAAGCACTCCGAGAGCTTACCCATCACTTTTCTTATATAAGAAGCCAGACTTCTCAGTCCCGTATTGTTTATTGCCTTGATGCTGATGGATGCTGTACCCACTGCCAGAGTTCTTTCTGTTGAGGTTCTCCTGAATGCAAGAGAAATAAATTATGGGTTATGGGTGCTCTGGCAAAATGGCTGCCAGTGGCTCAAAAATCCATGCAATAGAGAACAACCCTGGTTTACCATCTTGCTTTTTGCCCAGGGGTGGGCTCCTGGGGGTTCGCAGGGGTTTGGGAGAACCTCTAGCTAAGATTCTGTGCAGTTTGGAGAACCCCCAAATTCCACTCCTGGCTGGCCCCAACTACCCCGCCCCTCCCCTCCCAGGAGTCCTCTCGCGGCCCATTTTGGATGCAAGTAAGTGCAGGGCATGCGTGGAGGGCGAAAAACGGGCCTACCGGAAGTTTGGGAAGGCCGGAAATGGCCCATAAGGGCCTCCGGAGCCTGGGGAGGGCAAAAACACCCCCCCCCGCCCATGGTGCAGGAGGCCGAGTAGGCCACACCCACCATGGCCATGCCCACCCAGCAATCGGGCAGAGAACCCCTTGCTAAAATTTTTGAAGCCCACCCCTGTATTTGCCCCATCCTTTAGCCCAGTGTTTCTCAACATTAACAACTTTTTAGATTTCTGGACTTCAACTCCCAGAATTCCCCAGGCTAGTGTGCTGGTTGGAGAATTCTGGGTGTTGGAAGTCCATAAATCTTAAAGTTGATAGGGTTGAAAAATAGTGTTTTAACCTCATCTTCCTAAATGCTCTCAATTATTCTGGCTTCTTGCTATTCGCTTTGGAATGTCAGGCACTCCAAAAAGCCTTGGGATACATGCAATTACTTATTTAATTGTCAAATTTATATGGCTGCTCATCTGATGAAAAAGTGATTTTGGGTGATTTATAATAAAATTAATTTTAAAAATTAATATAGAAAAACTTTGTTTTTTTAAAAAAAAATAAAAACAGAAGGAGGCCAAGAGAAAACAGGAGATGTTAATAACAGTGGAGTCACCTCACAGACCATCTCACTGGTCCCCTGGAAATCCCAAGCCTGATGGCATAACCAGGTTTTGAGGGACTTCCAAGTATATCAGCAAGGATAGAGCCAGCCTCACTTCGTAGGCAGACCACCAAATGTAGCTCCCTAGCAGGGATGAAATGCTACCGGTTCACACCGGTTCAGGAGAACCGGTAGTGGCGACGGTACGTGGTTTGGTGAACCGGTAGTGGCGGCTGCACGATGCTCTGCCCACCCACCCGGACATCATTACTTCCTGCTTTTAAACAGGAAGTAACCTGTTTTTGACCCTATACGCATGCACATGCAGCTTTGCGCATGCGCAGAGGGTCCAAAATCGCACGTGATGATGATGGCGCACGAACTTCCAAACCGGTATGGAAGATAAGTAGATTTCACCCCTGCTCCCTAGTGTGCCCCACATCTGATGGAACGGGCTGATATAATTAGGGGGGAAGAGTCCCTCAAATAACCCAGCCCACACCATGAAGGTCAAAACTAGCTCCTTGATTTAAATCTGGGAACATTTCTTTTATTTATTTTCTGAGAAAGCTAATAGAACTTATTTTGAGTCTAAGAGGCCTCCTTCTAGATAAAAAATAAAACTGGAAGTTGGCAAATAACGTCCTTTATTTAAAAACAAGAATACATGTATTTTTAAACCATCTCTAACATGCCATGGGGCTAAGAGCTGGTAGGCACCACGGCAGAAGTCCGTACATCTATTGGCACCCACCAGGTGCCACTCAACAGTTCCTAGGGCATTTCATGGCATCACATGACGCTGCTACTGCTTAAAATCCTTTTTGGAACTATCTGATGGCTTCCTTCCACACACTGGCAAGCCAAAGCAAGCAACTAAAAACCCAATCTGCCAGACTGACTTGTTTGAGCTGAAAAAAGATAGCAAATTAAAAATATTCTTGGACAGTTTTACAGGCTTGCAGCCTGTTAATTAGCATTGTTGAAAGGGCATACAAATCAGGGGTGATGGGGGAGCAGTTGGATTCCAAACAATCTAAAAATGGTTTTTTTTCAAACTTGGCAAGTTTAAAATGCGTGGGCTTCAATTCCCAGAATTCTCTAGCCAGCTGAGTTCTTTGCTGAGCTGCCCAGGGAATGCTGGGAGTTGAAGTCCAGACATCTTCTTAAAGTTGCCAACTTTGAAAAATACTTAATCTAAAAGAGAGATCAGCAACTTTTCAGCAACTAATCAGCCTCTTGCTGTGTTACCTGATTTCCAGCTGTCTCCCTAACCAGAGGAAATGGCGGGGACCAACTACGCATGCGTTTAAATATTTTCGGGGAGGGCTTATTTTCAGGGGAGGGCTTATTTTCAGGGGAGGGCTTATTTTCAGGGGAGAGTTTATTTTCGGGGAAACACGGTAGAATACATTAATACGCACAGTGCAGTGCCCAGACATTCCTTCAAAATGCATGACCAAATTTTGCAAAAAAGCAAATCATTGGACCCATTGCAATTTGTCATAGACCCCGGGAAGTCCTGATTAAGCCCACCCACCCCCATTTCACCCTCTCCCGCACCTTCCCAAAGGACCCTCGAAGCTTTACCCCTTTGTTCTCCAGCTGCAAGATGCCTCGGAGGGAATCCCGGATCCGAGTGAGCTGCTTTACCTCTTCTTCCTTAGCCTGACGAAGCTAAAATAAGATTAGAAATTGCTAAGGACAAGCAAGTTGGAGCTATCTTTTCACTCTAACACACATCCTCAGGCACAGAATGGGACAACTTGCCATGGTCAACTTACTGCGGGACAATTCAGCAAATACAAAAGTTAAATTAATTTCAGTGGCTAATAATAATAATAATAAAATAAAGTCAATCCAGAAATACAGGAATTGCAATAATTTTGACGAAAATGTGGTTGCCAATAGTAAAAGCAGGGGTGCTATTCAGCAGGTTCTGACAGGTTCTGGAGAACCGGTAGCGGAATTTTTGAGTAGTTCAGAGAACCAGCAAATACCACCTCTGGCTGGCCCCAGAGTGGGAAGGGAATGGGGATTTTGCAGTATCCTTCTCCTGCCATGCCCACCAAGCCACGCCCACAGAACCAGTAGTAAAAAAATTTGAATTCCACCACTGAGTAAAAGTAACTGAACAAAATAATCCATACAGCGTTGAATTGTCTCATGGTGAATTGTCCTGTGGCGAGTTGGTTGCAACGAGTTGGTCGCAACGAGTTGGCCATGACAAGTTGTCTTGGATCCTCTCAGGCATTGGCTTTCTTCAGCCCAGAAGATTACAAGGTACAAAATAACATCAGGCCTTAGAGGGCCCCAATTTACATTAATGTAGGCTCAGTCAATTTGGAGGAACAGAAAGCAGTTTGCAGGACCGAAAAAGTAAGATTTCTTCCTAATTTCCTCTATGGAAACATAAGAGATTTTTATGCAAACAGTACCATCTACACCAGGGGTCTCCAAATTTTGGGAACTTTAAGACTTGTGGACTTCAACTCCCACAATTCCTCAGCCAGCAAAGCTCGCTGAGGAATTGTGGGAGTTGAAGTCCACACATCTTAAAGTCACCAAGATTGGGGACCCCTGATCTACACAGATGTGCAGATTAAATCATAGTGTTCCCTCCTTATGTCCTTTTTCCCCAGATTCTCATCGCCATCAGCCACCATCCTTAATTCCTCAGAAACAGAGTCAGGTAGAGAATTGTTCATCGTCCAGGTCTCCTTCGGTTCGAGGAACAAACACTGCTCTAGGGTTTTATTTCAAAAGAGAAAAAAAAAAAAGAATCCCAAAGAAATTATCCTGTGGGAATACAGGATGGGGCTTGTTTAGTGGCAATTTCGACAAGGGGAAGTGTGTGGCTCTCCTGCTTTCTAATGAATAGTCTTTCCCCCAACATTCTTGTAATCTTTTTGGCTTGGATGAAATCCCAAAAGGAGACAGGAGGCAGGAGCCACTTCCATTGTATTTCTGGAGTTGCAATGTCCCTGTTAAAAGAAAGGCGTCTTTGCCTTCGAAAAAATCCCTCAATAATTTCTTGTTCTCCAGACAAAAATGCAGAGAAATCATCCACACAAGCTTCTCCACTGGGTACCTCGGCGGAGTATTTCAAGAACTCGTTTGCAGTCAGTCGAATTTAGAAGAGTTTTTTTCCCCAATCTTGGCAAGTTGAAGATGCATGGACTTCTCAAATTCAAGGGATAGGCAGAAGAGGACAGAAACTAAGTTCTGATGTGGGATTTGAAAGAAAGCGAAGGCTACGCTTTCACAGAAGGAGAGACCCATGCATGGAGGGGAAACCCAGAAGAGAAATGAAAGGGTGAGCATGGTATTGAATGGGTCAGGCTAAGCACGATAAAAAAAAAAGCAGGTAGTCCTGGACTTATGACCATAGTTGACCCCAAAATTTCCGTTGCTAAGCAAGACAATTGTTAAGGGAGTTTTGCCCTACTTTATAGCAATAGCAATAGCACTTAGACTTACCATGTTTTCCCCAAAATAAGACTGGGTCTTATATTAATTTTTGCTGCAAAAAACACATTATGGCTTATTTTCCAGTTAGGTCTTATTTTGGGGGGAAATACAGTACTAAATGCCTCCGTCTGGTTGATGATCTTAACTGGGGCTTATTTTTGGGGTAGGGTTTATATTATGAGCATCCTGAAAAATCATGCTAGGGCTTATTTTCCGGTTGGGTCTTATTTTCGGGAAAACAAGGTATATACCGCTTTACAGTGCTTTACAGCTCTCTCTAAGCAGTTTATACTGTCAGCATATTGTCCCCCAACAATCTGGGTCCTCATTTTGCCCACTTCGGAAGGACGGAAGGCGGAGTCAACCTTGAGCCTGGTGAAATTTGAACTGCCAAATTGCAAGCAGCTGGCAGGCAGCAGAAGTAGCCTGCAGTTTCCTGTCAAGTTGTTAAGTGAATCTCTTCAGTTCTTAAGTAAGTAACAGGGTTACTACATTCCAGGAGAGAGACATTCCCGGAGGATGGGCTCCAGCACAGCTCAGAAGACTAAACCTCTGGTTCCGGTGACTGACCCAGATTAGATCCTAGTAACAAGGTTGTTAAGGTAAATATGGCTTCCGCATCGACTTTGCTTGTCAGAAAAGGTAATCTCATGACCCTGGGATATTGCAACCATCATAAATACAAGCCAGTTGCCAAGGTCCAAATTTTAATCATGTGACCACAGGAAATGCTGCAACGGTCGTTTGAAAAATGGGTCATAAGTCACTTTTTTTCGGTGCCATTGTAACTTTGAACAGTCACTAAACGAATGGTTGTAAGTCAAGGACTACCTGAGCTTACTGAAGAACCCAATCCTTTTCCTAGCTAGGAAAGCAATCCTTGTAAGTCCAGAGCTGAAAATTAGTTCACAGCCCTGTGGAAATCCAGTGACAACTTACTGCATGTAAGGAGGCGGCTAGTTTTTCGATGAACGGGTAGAGGTTCTGAGATGCCTTCCAGCCATCTTGGAAGAAACTGGAAACATTTTGAAATCAGCGGAGAAATATTGAAAAGCCAAGGATGGGGAAGGAAAAAAGAAGAAGAAAACAGGAAAAGGTTAGCTCAATTTGCTGCCACAGAATAGCAATAGTAATAGCACTTAGACTTATATACCGCTTTACACCCTCTCTAAGCGGTTTACAGAGTCAGCCTCTTGCCCCAAACAATCTGGGTCCTCATTTTATCCACCTCAGAAAGATGGAAGGCTGAGTCAACCTTGAACCTGGTGAGATTTGAACTGTTAAATTGCAGGCAGCCGGCAGGCAGCAAAAATAGCATGCAGTACTGCAATCTAACCACTGCGCCACCATAGCTCCAGGTGTTTAACCACATGTGAAACAGACATGTTTCGACTTCTTTCCTTAGGACACTGCTATACAGAAGTGGCCCCCAACCTTTCGGGTACTAGGGATTGGTTCCACGGAGAGAGGTTTTTCCGTGGACCGGAAGGGACGTGGTTTTGCATGCTGCCTGCATCACATGGATGGGGCTTCGCTTGCTTGCGCGGCCTGGTTTCTGGCCTGCTGTGGCCCTGCACCCATCCATGGACCATGTCCATCAATGGACATGTCTATGGAATGTAATGCTATAGAGAAATTGGCTATAGAGCATTACATGTCAAAACAACCAGACACAAAGACAGGTTTTTCCCCCCATGCCATCACTCTGCAGAACAACTAATTCCTACAACACTGTCTTATGCCTAAGGATATCTAACCACAAAGTAGGCCTGTTTTGCTATTATCCTTCTCATCTTTTTCATCTTCTAATCTTTCTTACTACCTTCTCCTCTTGGTACCTTAAAACAGGGGTGGGCAAATTCTCAGGAATTCTGGGAGTTGAAGTCCCAGAATTCTGGGAGTTGTAAAAGAGCCACATTTGCCCACCCCTGCCTTAAAAGGTAAAGGTAAACTTTCAATTTCCAAACATTAAAAAGGTAAAGGTTCCCCTCGCACATATATGCTAGTCGTTTCCGACTCTAGGGGGCGGTGCTCATCTCTGTTTCAAAACCAAAGAGCCAGCGCTGTCCCAAGACGTCTCCATGGCCATGTGGCTGGCATGACTCAACGCCAAAGGCTCACAGAACGCTGTTACCTTCCCACCAAAGGTGGTCCCTATTTTTCTACTTGCATTTTTTACGTGCTTTCGAATTGCTAGGTTGGCAGAAACTGAGACAAGTAACGGGAGCTCACCCCGTTACGCGGCACTAGGGATTCCAACTGCTGAGCTGCCGACTTTTCGATCGACAAGCTCAGCGTCTTAGCCACCGCATCCCTTATTGGTACCTTACGATTTATAATTTGTTGTTTGCATCTTACAATTTATGATTGTATCTTATGATTTATGATCAATGACTTACCACTTTGTTATGTAAATGCACGCCGAGAGTTTATGCACAGGAGACAAATTCTTTGTGTGTTCAATCACACTTTTGCCAATAAAGAATATTCCTATTCCTATTACTTGAAACAACCTCAAGGACTTGAGCTCTGCTCAAGAAGCCCATCCAAAGGAGTAATGCTGACACGCCATCATAAACGGCAGACCCCGACACTTTAGCGAACTTACTTATGTTGCGCATGATAAAACTTGATGAGGCTCTGCAGAAAATCTGGCCCTTGCTTCATTTGGCATTCGTTGGCTTTCAGAAGATACTGGGCGAGAAAAAAGGAGATGAGAACAATAGGTTACGGTATAATGATAACAGCTTCTTCAAAATGTCAATACTTTAGAGATACCATGTGAGCCAACCTGTTTGTTGTTTATTTATCACCTTAGCTAGAACATAGAATAATAGAAGGGACCTTGGAAGTCTTCTAGTCTAGTCTCCTTCTCAAGTGGACAAATGGCTGTCCAGTCTCTTCTTGAGAAACTCCAGTGGTGGATCACCCACAACTTCTGGAGGCAAGGCGTTCCACTAATTGTCCTCACTGTCACAAAATGTTTCCTTACTTTTAGGTTGGATCTCTCTTTCATGATCTTCCACTCAGTACGTCTTGTCCTGCCCTCTGGTGTTTTGGAGAACAGGTTGACCCCAGGGGTAGTATTCAGTTATCTTGTGCGTGCGCAAGCGCCATCTTCCGCACATGCGCAAGGCCTTCTGCGCATTCGCAGAGCCTCAAAAACATAGAAAAATGGAAGGTCATGATATCCGCGTGGGTGGGCGGGGCATCCGGCAGTCGCCCCTACCGGTTCGCCGAAACCAGATAGATCCAGCTGAATACCACCACTGGGGGTTGACCCCCCCAATTCTCTTTGACAGACCATCAGACCATCATGGCTTAGGACCTGGTTATCTACGGGACTGCCTACTACCACCAATAGCCTCCCACCGGCCAGTACGCTCTCATAGAGAGGGACTCCTCCGGGTGCCGTCAGCCAAACAGTGTTGACTGGCGGCCCCTAGGGGGAGAGCCTTCTCTGTGGGGGCACCTACCGTCTGGAATGAGCTCCCCCCGGAGATACGGAGGATCCCGGATCTGCGCACCTTCCGCCGCGCTGTGAAGAACTTTTTATTCCACCAGGCGGGCTTGGCCTAATCTTTTCCCTCTTTTTAATATGTAAATTTTAATCTGTTTTTAAATTAGTGGGGTGTTTTAATCTGTCTGGGCCAAAATGATTTAATTCAATTTTATCTGGTTTTTAAATGTTTTGTATCTATGTATTTTATTGTTTGGCTGTTCACCGCCCTGAGTCCTTCGGGAGTAGGGCGGTATACAAATCAACTAAACTAAACTAAACTAAACTAAACTAAGTACTGGAAGACTGCTATCATATCACCATCATTAGATAACTTACATTACTATAATATTACATACTGTAATAGCCATACTGACTAGACATAACGACAACAACTTCTTCAAAATGCCAATATGCAGTTAGTAAAAGAGATACTGAGCCAGCCCGTTTGTTGTTTATTCATCATCTAGTCAATTGAAGCCAATTTGTATATTATATAAGGGAAGAAAGGTAGATAACATTAGCAGATTGATAAAAAAAAAATTGAATTAGAAGCCTGACATTCATACAAGAGGAAAGGGCTTTGACTCTCTTTGTCAAAATCATTGTGTCCCTCTCTCTCTCTCTCAACCCAACTCACAAACCTATCATTTTGAGATAAAAATGGATAAAGAGAATATTAGGTATTGTAAGTAAGAGATTTCAGAAGGAAAGTGTCACACATGCAATAAATGACCGATGAGCCCATCCCCTGAATGATTATAAATCCAATAGCTTATAATACAAAGGTGATGTTATGGTCCGCCGGCAGCCTGTGGAGCTGGCAGCAGAGTCGGACAGTGAGGAGGTTGGGGAGGAACATGGGCCAGTCCTGGAGTCTGGGGAAGGCTCAGACGAGGGCTCTGCGTCAGAGGCAGAGAAAGAGCCATCTGGGAGATACATGCTGCCTCCGGAGCCTCCAGAGTCGGACATCAGTGAGGCAGAGAAACAGGGGGAGCCTGTTCCCAGTGCGTGCATGCGCAGAGCTGCCAGAAGGCAAGAACAGTTAAGACAAAAGGGGTGACTCCGGAGATGATTGGCCCCTCCCATAAGACATAAAGGTGGAACAAAGCAAGATAAGCCTTTGCAGGAAGCAACTTTGTTTGTTCTGGTCGGTTTAAACTCTGAAGTTCCATTTTGACTTTGTGCTCCGTTTGGCCTTGCAAAGCTAATTTGCAATTAGGTATTTGGCAGCGTTTCAAGGGAGATAAAGGTGGGTGCTTATCAGCCTTATCCCGAAAGACTGTGGCAGACTTTGGTTGGACTATTCACAAACTGCTTAGGATTCATTACAGGCTGTGAATGATCATACTTCACAGCCGTTTAAATAAAAGAGGTTTTTTGGGACTAAAATTGTGATTTATGCTTTCTCAGGAAGACTAGGTCAGAACAGATGACTTGTGGGGTCAAGAACCACAACAGACTTAATAAGGCTGCTTCCTTGCTAGATAGGTAGTCCTCGAATCACAAACACGATTGAGCCCAAAATTTCCACTGCTAAAGCAAGACTTGTGAGTTTTACCCCATTTCTTGCCACAGTTGTTAAACAAATCACTGCAAGTGTTAAATTAGTAACAGAGTTGTTAACTCAATCTGACTTCCCTGTTGACTTTGCTTGTCAGAAGGTTGAAAAGGGGGAATCACATGACCACAGGATACTGCAACCATCATAAATACACACCAGTTGTCAAGCATTTGAATTTATCTCACGTGATCGTAGGGATGCTGCAACACTCACTTTTTTTCAATGCAATGCCAACGTAGAATAGAATAACAGAGTTGGAAGGGACCTTGGAGGTCTTCTAGTCCAACCCCCTGCTTAGGCAGGAAACCCTGTTACCATTTCAGACAAACGATTGTTCAGTCTCTTCTTAAAAACTTCCAGTGTTGGAGCATTTACAACTTCTGGAGGCAATTTGTTCCACTGATTAACTTCAAATGGTCACTAAACAACTGGCTGTAAATTGAGAGCTACCCATACACATGATTAGTCCATTTGGCATGATGCTCCAGTACAATCAGTGAGCCAAGGGAAGCTCTCAAAAGAATTTCTGCTCTTGGCTGTCATTGTCATGGCTGAAATGAACAATCTTGTACAATTATGATGTCTGGCCAACGACTCTTATTATGTACCACAATATAAGTACTTAGCCAGACCAAGATGCTCCCTTCATATTCTGTACCCTTTCCTGAAATAATCTCTCAGAAGCCTGAACATAGAAATACCAATGGAGATTCTCAGTCATCCGGGTGAGATTCAAGGTGTTGGTCATCACCTTTAAAGCGCTCCATGGCATGGGACCCGGGTACCTTCGAGACCGACTTCTGCCACCAATAGCCTCCCACCGGCCAGTTCGCTCCCACAGAGAGGGTCTCCTCAGGGTGCCATCGGCCAAGTTATGTTGGCTGGCGACACCCGGGGGGGGGGCCTTCTCTGTGGGAGCCCCAGCCCTGTGGAATGAACTGCCCCTGGAAATGCATAAGATCTCCGACCTCTGGGTATTTCGTTGTGCACTCAAGACCCTGTTGTTCCACAATTTTAAATTGGGTTTTAAATTCCTGGGGTTTTAAATTGAGCCGAATTCATTTAATAATTTTAAACTATTTTAACTGATGTTGTCTTGTGTTTTTAATAGGCTGTACACCGCCCTGAGTCCTTCGGGAGAAGGGCGGTATAGAAATAAAATTATTCTATTCTATCCAGGTTACAGTTGTCCCAAAGGTGCTTTTTCAGGAGGCAACTGGACTTTCTGGTTTTTCTTTGAAGATTTTTCACGTCTCATTCAAGAAGCTACTTCAGCTCTGGATGAGAAGTGAAACGTCTTCAGAGAAAAACCAGAAAGTCCAGTTGCCCCCTTGAAAATGCATCTCTGGGGTAGAAATATCAGTTACACTGATATATGTAGTCCAGGATGAATGTAGAAATATCACATATGTTAAGTTTGTAGAATATGCCACACCTGTTTTTTTTTTATCACTGTATACATTGTACTCCTTGGTTCCCAAAGGCTATGGAGTATAATTCATTTTTTATTGTGATGTTTCAGAATGTAAAGTTCCAAGGGTCACTGGGAGTCGGGCATTTTTTAAATGGGTGTAAATAAGTAAACCAATAAACATTATGAAGACTTTTTCCCCCCTACTAGTTTTCATTCAGTTGGCTGTTCGATGTACAATCAGGGGTGGCTACTGGGGGTTCGCAGGGGTTCAGGAGAACCTTTAGCTAAGATTCTGTGCAGTTCAGAGAACCTCCAAATCCCACTCCTGGCTGGCCCCGTCCACCCCACCCCACCCCTCCCACCCCACCCCGCCCCTCCCAAGAGTCCCCACGCGGCCGATTTTGGATGCCGGTTAGTGCAGGGCACACACGGAGGCTTGAGGAGGGTGAAAAACGGGCCTACCGGAAGTTCGGGAAGGCCAGAAACAGGTCCATTTCTGGCCTCCAGAGCGCCTCCGGAGCCTGGGGAGGCCGTTTTTGCCCTCCCGGAGGCTCAAAGAAAACCTCTAGAGCCTCGCCCCCCCCACCGTGGTGCAGGAGGCTGACTAGGCCACGCCCACCCAGCAACCAGGCAGAGAACCCCTTGCTAAAATTTTTGAAGCCCATCCCTGTGTACAATCCTCTCTGCAGCAATCTGCAGCCCTTGGCTTCCCAGACTTCAGTTAAACCCTAAAGGAAAACACGGAGAGATGGACTTTTACCTGGAGGTGTTTTAAGATTGAAAAGTTGTAGGTAACTAGGGAAATTTCAGAGCATGGAATTGTGGTGTAACAAAAATGACATCCATGGAAGCTTCCTCAGCACCTCCACGATTACCGAACCTTAAAACAACCACCAAGACAAATTTAAAAAAACCAAACCTGAGCATTAATGTTTCCATCCCTTGGTGCTTGCAGCTTTTCCCCCCCCTCCGAATGCTCGGCATTCAACACATCAAAATTGCCGTACGGTCTTTCACAAAATTGGGATTCTTTTTCCCACGGTAAAATACATTCTCACGGACATGTGTAGAGAATCCATGTCCCATCTGGTCGGTTGAAACATGCCAAGTCTTGTGAGAAACCCAGAGCAATTTTAAGAGTCGGACACAGTCCGTTGTGCTTCCCCCAAACCATCACAACCCCAACCTCCCTTCCCTCTTTAGAACTCAACCAAATT